AGGTTTGTAAAAAAACTACTAAAAAATACTTGCATTTTTGCTGAACAGCATTAAATCTCTGATTAATGTGTTAACTATTCAGGCTGTTGACAGGAAAATTGACTAACGTGAGTTCATAAGTATTTGTAATTGCCTTTAATTTTTCTGTGTGCCACTTACAATGAGTTTTAAAATAGTTTAACTATTTAACTTTTCTAAAAAGACACATCAGAAGATTTGGCAACCTTAATCCTGGGTATTACTGCAGCCGCCAATTTGCTAAACTGAAAGAAAAGCCAAGAAAAATGTGATTTAAATGTCTTCTTAAGTGATTAAAAATCACTCATTTTTGTATGTTTATAGAGTCATTTTATAATGAGGCTTTTTGGTATTGTCTTGAATCCAGTTTTTAATATTAAGGCTTTGTCAGCAATTCAGTTATAAGCCCCTATTTGGGGAGGTTCACAATTGATATAAAAGATTTGCATAGTAACACACCTTTATTCTCATTATGGCATTTTAAAAAATAGTCTCATCACCTGTTCTGGGGAGTGCAAAAATCCCCCAAATCTCATTTGTAGTATCCATTTCAGACATTTTCTGAACTTTATATTAAAAGAAAAATGTTCTATAGCTTTCATTGGAAGTGTTTACTGGAGAACCAGTTGCACTATCAGGTGAATGCACCTTTAGGTGGGTCTGGCTAATGCTTCTTGGAAACTATGTGTTTGAAAGAGCCATTTCAGTCCAGCTTATTGAGTAAGCATATATTTAAGGTTTTTAACCTAATACAACAGTGAGTCCAGAAAAATGGTAAACACACACAGTTGGAATATTCCAACTGTCAAACTTTATTCAAAGTTAAAGCGCTCACTGCATCCTTCACTCAAATATTGAATTTTGCAGGAGAAGAAATGGGCAGCTACCACTCTGAATTAAGACTTCATATTGATGTACTTGGTTTTTGCATCACTGTCTCATTGGCACACTTTATAACCCTTTAAACTGAGACATCAATGTTTTGTTGTAGCATTCCTATTAGTGAGTTCACATATGGGTTTGATTACCCTAATGTGTTATCAGGTGGAAGTGTAATTCCAGGTTCATTTATTTTTACTCTTGCAGTAAATCTTCTGGTTGAAAGGTCTTTAAATTTACTTAATACAATCAGCCTGCAAAAATCTAGTTTCTGTTCAGTTTCCTGTTTTATGATATACTTCTGGATCTATGTATGCTAGGATAACATTTCATTTTGAAGGATGGCCACCAACATTTCAGCAAATGATTCTGGCTTCTTGTAACAGAGCAAAGGAACATATTTTGAAATCACACCCATACCCCATCCTTAGAAGCAGTCTGTTTTAAGAATTACTTTGACACTCCAACCTGTTTGCAAAGCTTACAAACTAGTAATACTTTACAATTTCATTGGTCTAATTTAAAATCCCTTTGCATTGCACTGTTCAAGAGAGATGGGAAGCTGTGTTAATCTGTTTATCAACATTCATCTTTGAAATCCCATCAGTTAATGTGCACAGAGAAGGATTTTCCTGAAGAGATAAATGTAATGACCATAATTAGTTTTTATTACCTCTGCTGGAACTTAAAGGTGTTCAAAGGCCTCACAATGATCTTTTGTTGAACCTAGGACATGATTCTGCCAAATAACGAGAGTTTGGTCCAGGACTGACCAGGTGCAACACTCATTCCTTTACTTTTGAGAAACCCTATACCTGTGAGAGGTTGTTGTTTTTTTAAAAATTCTTTCTGAACTGGACAAACTGCCCTGGAGAGACAGTGTGCAATAAGTGACTGGTATGAAAAGCAGGATAACTTTGCTAACTTTTAAGAATGTATAAGTGTTACACTTTTTAAAAATAAACTTTATTAATAAAACTTTAAGTGTTAACATTGGCTGAAATCTCATGATGCATACAGAGAGCGCTTCATTGTAACCATTTGTTTACTGGTGCTCTGCAGGTGCAGATTACAGCACTAAATTTTCCCTCTTTAATGACTGAATAAGGTTTTTATTTCTGCTTTGCATTGTGCCCAGGTTCTTTAAATGTCAGTCACATGAGACTTTTCATGATGTTAATCTGTGTTTCTGATTTAACAACATTTGGATTTGTAGATTTTAAAAAAGAGAGCTTCCATTTACCATATTCTGGGTGCAACACTTAAAGCATTTGTAAATCAGGTATTCAGGCTCAAGCACAAAGGCATAACTTGGATCCATATGTTGGAAATGTAAAACATTTTGGCTTTCATAATACTAGCCATTATTAAGCATTATGTGTTTTGTATAGAACTACTTTGTTAACTAGGTAACAGACTTAAAAAATCTTTTGCCAGATTTATTTGAGTTTTACATTTGTTTGTTGCTAATGCAACTTAATTATGGCTAGCAAAGCTGGAGGATTACTGAAAAGTTGCCAGTTAAGGGATTTCATTAAGGACATATGATATGATATAAACGTTTTAGTAGAGTGCTTGTTTTAATTTACTTCCACAGAAATAACTTTCTTCAGAAGTGATTTCCTCAGCATTAAATGCAACAAAAACATAACATAAAAATGAAAGGTTCAAAATGGTTACGTTGCTTTTCTCAGTTGTGGTCTTTCATTATATGTTATAAGTGTTTAGCAAAATCAAAATGAAAATAACAAGTTGTGATGTTCACCTATTTAAAACAATGTGATGGTGTGACCTAAATGAAGTTTACATTATAGTAATTACATACACAAGAATGCCAGTTTACGTGGCACACCATTTGACCCATCTCCTGCGCAGGCAATGAAACAAAATGAGGGGCTACAGTATAAGAAAAACGTCTGGATACATGGTGTACTCCTTGCAAGTAGAGTTACTCCCAAATGTTTACAGACAATGGTGCTAAAAACAAGAAACTTGAAATGAGAGAGGATCACAGCACTGACTAAAGAGAATTTAGCTGTCATTTCATGGATAAAGGTCCTCTATGGAGCAATTTGTGAGCTGCAGAAAGTGGGGATAACTTGGTAGGCAGTGCTCTTTCCCCAAGTCATAAAAATAAATCAGTTTCTTAGCACTGAGGAGAGCTGTCTTCTGTATATAAGTACACACCAACAACCCATCTTACTTAATTTCTTATCTGATTAGATCAGAGCCCGGGGGTATTGCTACAAAGGTATTAGCTAGCAATTGCTAAAGCTTGAATCTCTGGGGTAATATTGTCTAAGTCCTACCCAATTGTTCTGGACCAGTGATTCTCATATGTAGTTCTCTGTGTTATGTGGGCCACATCCACACTATATATATATGTGTGTGTGTGTGTGTGTGTGTGTGTGTGTGTGTGTGTGTGTGTGT